CAGATTGTGGGACTTCTTAGAGCCAGTGCTTCATGATAAATTTCTTTCTATAGCGCGCGCTCTCTCTCTCTCATTGGTTCTATTTCTCTGGAGAACACTAATACAAGTGAAGTGTGATTCAAATTTTCTTTTCTTTTTTCTTTTTCTTTCTTTCTTTCTTTTTTTTTTTTTTTTGACAGAGTCTCACTGCGTCACCCAGGCAACCCGCCAGGCCCCAGCAAGCCTCCCACCTCTGCCTCCTGAGTAGCTGGGATTACAGGTATGCACTGCAGTGCTCGTGCCTGGCTACTTTTTTTTTTTTTTTTTTTGAGACAGAGTTTAACTCTTGTTGCCCAGGCTGCCGTGCAATGGCTATTGACAGGCATGATCCCTCTACTGATCAGCATGGAAGTGCTTCATTTCTGATCTGGGTCAGTTCACCCCTCCTTAGGCAAACTGGTGGTTCCTCACTCCCTGGAGGTCACCATATTGATGCAGAATTTAGCGTGGACACCCAATTAGCATAGTGCACTAAAGCCCAGAACTCCTGGACTCAAATGATCCTCCCACCTCACCCTCTCCAGTAGCTGAGATTACAGGCCCGTGCATGCCTGATCTCTCTGAGCCTTTACACATGCTTCTTTCTCTGCCTCCTCCCACCCCAACCTAAGTATCTTCTACTCATTCTTCAGGATTCAGCAGAGGCATCATCTCTTTTACAGAACTTTTATCTGTCGGGACTGATTCAAGTAATAGAAACTTCCTTGCACTAACAAGCCAAAAAGGGAAAAAGGGATTAAAAATAAGAGTATAGAAGTATATTCTTCCTTGAGGAAGAAATCATCCAAAACTAAGCACTCCATTTCGTTGGGACTTTATCTCTTGTATCTGTTCTTTCCCACCCTTAGAATCCCAGTTTGCCTCTTCAAGTAGCTTTGTTACTGCCTGTCTACCTCTCATTCTTCTCCTCTAGACCATAAGTTCCTTGAGGGCAGGACCGTGCCTTTATTAATTTCCTCATCCCCAGAACTTAGCAGAGTACACCCAACAGAGTTTACAGGTGGTGAAAGAGGAAGATAAGTAAACCAGCCCTTAATGCACAACCCAGCAAGTGTCCTTGAAAATGCACATTTTCGGCCGGGCACGGTGGCTCAAGCCTGTAATCCCAGCACTTTGGGAGGCCGAGATGGGCAGATCACGAGGTCAGGAAATCGAGACCTTCCTGGCTAACACAGTGAAACCCCGTCTCTACTAAAAATAATACAAAAAACTAGCCGGGCGAGGTGGCGGGCGCCTGTAGTCCCAGCTACTCGGGAGGCTGAGGCAGGAGAATGGCGTGAACTCGGGAGGCGGAGCTTGCAGTGAGCCCAGAAAGCGCCACTGCACTCCAGCCTGGGCGACGGAGCGAGACCAAAAAAAAAAAAAAAAAAGAAAAAAGAAAATGCACATTTTCAAGGTGCATCCAGAGCCAGAGGAGATAGAGAGGACTCACCTCCCTATTTGGCCAGTCGAGAAGCTTCAGGAAGGACACAGGCTGATGCATTGCTTATCCTTTGATTGGGGGATCCAAAGGGAAGTCCCATAAAATGCATATTTATTTTATTTTTTTTTTTGAGACAGGGTCTCACTCTGTCACCCAGGCTGAGTGCAGTGGTGCAATCAGGGGTCACAGTAGCCATGACCTCCCTGGCTGAAGTGATCCTCTCACATCAGTGTCCTGAGTAGCTGGGATTACAGGCATGCACTACCATGTCCAGCTAATTTTTTTTTCTTTGTAGAGATGGGATCTCACTATGTTGCCCAGGCTGCTCTTGAACTCTGGGTCTCAATCCTCTTGCCTCAGCCTCCCAAAGGGCTGGGATTATGGGCATAAACCATCACACCCAGCCACAGAGAGTCTCTTAGAGACCCTCCCAGCTCCTTGGGTCTCCATTGAAGCGAAGAGAGAACATCCAGTGTATTTCTGCGTGTTGCTTGAAGACAGAGGAAAGGAACAACAAGTCACAGCGCAAGGGCCTTGGCACTCTGTTTCTCTAACATTTCAGCCATTTGAGATTTCATTCAATTCCTTTTTTTTTTTTTTGATATGGAGTCTCGCTCTGTCACCCAAGCTGGAGTGCCATGGCACAATCTCGGCTCACTGCAACCTCCGCCTCCCACATTCAAGCGATTCTCCTGCCTCAGCCTCCTGAGTAGCTGGGATTACAGGCACCCACCACCACACCCAGTTAATTTTTGTGTTTTTAGTAGAAACGGGGTTTCACCATGTTGGTCAGGCTGGTCTTGAACTTCTGACCTCATGATCCACCTGCGTTGGCCTCCCAAAGTGCTGGGATTACAGGTGTGAGCCACCGCACCCGGCCTCACCCAGTTCCTTTTTTCCATCTTGAGACCTTTGAGCATTTCATTTCCTCTGCTTAGAGTGCTTCCTCACCCTCTTCCTTTAGACTAACCTCTAAACAGCTTGAAGGTTTCAACTTACATGTCACTTTCGGGAGAGGAAGGAGGCTTCCCTGGCCCCCGAACTAGGCTAAGCCCCATCACCACACAGCCCCACAGCAGCCTGCTCTTCCCCTTTCTGAACACTCACTTCACTGTGCTGCCTGTTAAGAGGCTGCCTCTCCAGCACTCTGCGATCTGTCACAGCAGGGACCATGTCATCTTTGCCTATTCACAGGGCCTGGCACAGAGCCTGGCACCTGAGAGGTAGTCAGAAATACTTGTTATTACTTTGAATTTCAATAGTTAGTGTAACTTCATTTTAAATAGAAAAATCAAGGCACAGAGGTGGGGAAGTGAATATTCCAGTGGCTTCGGGTTGGTTGCAGGGCCGCACTCAGAGCCTGGGCTGGATCCCTCTCTGCCCTGTATCCAGTAGCACTGTGTCTCTTCAGTTTTTTGTTTTTGTTTTTGAGACAGGGTCTTGCTCTGTCACTTAGGTTGGATGCAGTGGCACAATCACAGCTCACTTTTTTTTTTTTTTTTTCAGATGGAGTCTAGTTCTGTCACCCAGGCTGGAGTGAAGTGGCATGATCTTGACTCACCACAACCTCCGTCTCCTCAGTTCAAGCAATTCTTCTGCCTCAGCCTCCCGAGTACCTGGGACTACAGGTGCGCGCCACCATGCCTGGCTAATTTTTGTATTTTTTTAGTAGAGATGAGGTTTCACCATATTGGCCAGGCTGGTCTGGAACTCCTGTCCTCAAGTGATCCACCTGCCTCGGCGTCCCAAAGTGCTGGGATTACAGGAATGAACCTCCACACCCAGCCATTTCGCCCGCCTGGGCGAAAGAGCAAGACTCCATCTCAAAACAAACAAACAAAAAAAGAATCAATTGCATTCACATTTTATCCCTAAATATTTCAGTGTGTATCTCCTAAGAAAAATAACATTCCCCTATACAAATACAGCACAATTATCACAACATTACAATACTATTAATATACACATTCATATTCAAATTTCCCAGTTATCTCAATTATGTCCTTTTCAGCTATTTTTTTTTTCCAGGACCAATCAAGAACCATGAATTGCTTTTGGTTGCCATATCTTAGTCTCCTTTTTTTCTTTTTTTGAGGCAGAGTCTCAAAAAAAGTACAGTGGCGTGATCTTGGCTCACTGCAACCTTGGCCTCCTAAGCTCAAACGATTCTCCTGCCTCAGCCTCCTGAGTAGCTGGGATTACAGGCATGCGCCACCACGCCCAGCTAATTTTTGTATTTTTAGTAGAGACAGGGTTTCACCATGTTGGCCAGGCTGGTCTCGAACTCCTGACCTCAAGTGGTTCGCCCAGCTAGGCCTCCCAAAATGCTGGGATTACAGGCTTGAGTCACTGCGCCTGGCCTAGTCTCCTTTAATATAGAACAGTTCTCAGACTACTTTATCTTTCACAATATTGACTACTTTCTTTTTTTTTTTTTTTTTGAGATAGAGTCTTGCTCTGTTACCAGGCTGGAGTGTAGTGGTGCAATCTTGGCTCACTGCAATCTCCACCCCCGGGTTCAAGCGATTCTTCTGCCTCAGCCTCCCAAGTAGCTGGGACTACAGGAGTGTACCACCACATCCAGCTAATTTTTGTATTTTCAGTAAGGATGGGGTTTCACCATGTTGAACAGGATGGTCTTGATCTCCTGACTTCACGATCCGTCCACCTCGGCCTCCCAAGGTGCTGGGATTGCAGGTGTGAGCCATTGCACCTAGCCATTGAGTACTTTATCTTTCACTCTTCATTTTTGAAGAGTCCGGGTCAGACGTTTAGCAGAATGCCCCTAATGTGGATTTGTCTGATTATTTCCTCATGGTTAGATTCAGATTAAACTTTTTTTTTTTTTTTTAACAAGATGCCACTTGCATGATGCTGTGGGTGCCTTTTCATTGCAATGCCTCCATTCCAGACGTGAGAAAGTTCTGGACCTGTAGGGCATTTCAAGCCTGGGTGTATATGGGGGAGGAGGGGATAGATGTTCGTTTATGTACCAGATCCTCAGATCCCTGGGGTGTGTTGAGGGGAAGGCTCAGGGAGCTGATGGATAAAGCCACAGCTTCAGTCCTGGCAGAGTTCACTGCCAGGGATGGCTGCTGACTGCAGGGCACTGATGGTGGGCAGCCAGGGTTGAGGTGCGAACTTCTCCTTCCTACAAGGCGTTCCAGGTGTTCAGTGGCAGCCAGTCCCTCAGTTAATGGGTCACCTGCTGCTGCGGCCACTCTCTGTTGATGCAGCTACAAGGGAAATGAAGAGGGCTGAGGGAGGTGGCCATGCCAATGCTGTTCTGTGGAGGAGAGGGACAGCAAAGGGACAGGTGTACAAAGACAGAGGGAGCCATGGCCGGGCGCAGTGGCTCACGCCTGTAATCCTAGCACTTTGGGAGGCCGAGGCAGGCGGATCACTTGAGCTCAGGAGTTCGAGACCAGCCTGGGCAACATGGTGAAACTCTGTCTCTACCAAAAATACAAAATAAATTAGCTGGATGTGGTGTCACGAGCCTGTAGTCCCAGCTACTTGGGAGGCTGAGGTGAGAGGATTGCCGGAGCCCAGGAAGAGGAGATTGCAGTGAGCTGAGATCGCACCACTGCACTTCAGCCTGGGTGACAGTGCAAGATCCCGTCTCGAAAAAAGAAAATTAAAAAAAAATAACACGAAGACAGAGGGAGCCTCTGAATAAAAAACAGAATGAAAGGGTAAGGGCCAGGGCATCAGAGGGGATGCACACACCAGCAAAGGAGAGAAAAGTGGAGGGACAGAGACAGAGAGAAACCAAGAGACTCATAAATGGCAGCCCACAGAGAAAAGAAAGCACCAGCTGATATGCCTCACTCACAATTTGCAAGTCCCTTTCTGAGGTTCTCTGGCTTTGGCCTTTGTGGGACAGTCAAGAGAGTCTGTGTTTATATCGGTCAGACTCAAAGGGCACAAGTGTTTCCCCCAGGGGGCTGTGCGGGGGTCACCTGCTCAGTCTGTACTTTTCCAAACACAGAAATTCTCCTTTGTGCCCCAGAAGCCAGGCCCTGGGCCAGCAGTTTCCTGCCGGAGCTCGGCATGTCTCCTCCTTTTTCACAGGGCTGTCAGCACTGAGGAAGGCCTACTGGTAAAGAGGAGCAGGAGACAGGCAGACAGAAGGGAGGACTCGGAGAAAAGAAGCCACTAGAAATAGCCTTCCCTCTGGAGTGGGGAGGAATCCAAAAATCCCAGGAGCTGCCCAGCGGGTGTGACCTTAGCTAATAATAACAGGCCAGGGTTTTCTCACGAGAAAAAGGATCAGCATAGAGGAGGGTGGAGGGAAAGAGAAGCTGCTCAGCCCCCACACTGCGAGGGGTACAGACGGTACCCGGGGGTTCTGCCAGGGCCAAACTCCTCTAAAAGCTCCTGGGGAAGGGCTCTGTTACGGGAACCCAGGGTGGACAGAGTAGACTTTTTGGCAATAATGGTATGTCTGTGCTTTTCTTTCTCAGGAAGAGAAGACAGTGAAAAGAGCATAGTCAGGAATCAGGAATCTTTTGTGGCATCACAGCTGAACGTAAGTGAAAAAGCACCTTTCTGCCCTCTGCCCTTGGCCAAAAGAACACCCTTCAGTTCCTGCTTCTTACTGAGGCGGTTGAGGAGCGTCAAGGGGCTGGACAGGACACCCCGCAAACTTTCCAGCCATTCCTGCTGCTCCTTCTCGTTGGGGCAAGTGAGGACATATCTCCGCTCTGGGGTGACAATGGTGAGTCCGGCTTTCCAGCGATTTCCTCGGATGCCCTTGGGCAGGTCTTCATAGACTTCATATCCCTGCTCCTTGTTCCCCAGAAAAACCTGGCCCTGCTCGAAGGCATCCTGAAAATGGAGGGTACAGGGTCATCAGAGGGTGCCCCCAGGGCAGAGGGGCCCTGCAGCCCTGACAGCCTCCAAGCTCTATTTTGGGAAGGGGGTATGAGGTCCCTGCTGGGATTTCTGCTGAGTGGGACCCAGAATTTGAAAGATCAAAACCCTAAAATAAATCATACACGTCATCTGTTGAAAAGATACTGAGGGTGGGCCTGATAGTTCATGCCTATAATCCTAGCACTTTGGGAGGCAGAGGATTGTTTGAGGCCAGGAATATGAGACCAACCTGGGCAATATAGTGAGACCCCTTCTCTGCAAAAAAAAAAATTTATTAATTATTATTATGAATTGTTTTTGGAGACAGGGTCTCACTCTGTCACCCAGGCTGGAAGTGCAGTGGCACAATCATGGTTCATCCCAGCCTCAACCTCCCAGGCTCAGGCGATCCTCCCACCTCAGCCTCCCAAGCAGCTAGGACTACAGGCATGCGCCACCACACCTGGCTAATTTTTAAGATTCTTTCCTTTTCTTTTTCTTTTTTTTTTTTTTTTTGAGACGGAGTCTAGCTCTGCGCCCAGGCTGGAGTGCAATGGCGTGATCTCGGCTCACTGCACCCTCTGCCTCCAGGTTCAAGTGATTCTCCTGCCTCAGCCTCCTGAGTAACCGGGATTACAGGCACGCACCACCATGTCCGACTAATTTTTGTATTTTTAGTAGAGACGGGGTTTCACCATGTTGGTCAGGCTGATCTTGAACTCCTGACCTCGTGATCCACCCGCCTCGGCCTCCCAAAGTGCTGGGTTTACAGACGTGAGCCACCATGCCCGGCCTTAAGTTTCTTGTAGAGATGGGATCTCATTATATTGCGCAGGCTGGTCTCGAACTTCTGGGCTCAAGTGATCCTCCTGCCTCAGCCTCCCAAAGTACTGGGATTACAGGCAAGAGCCAGAGCACCCAGCCCTACTTTTTTTTTTTTTTTTTTTTTTTTAATTAGCTGGGCATGGTGGTGCATGCCTGTATTCTGAGCTACTCGGGAGGCTGAGGCAGGAAGATAACTTGGGCCCAGAAGTTCAAGGTTGCAATGAGCTGTGATTGTGCCACTGCATTCCAGCCTGGGTGACAGAGAGAGACTCTGTCTCTAAAAAAATAAATAAGTGATACCTAACATTTATGGAGCACCTATTAAAATCAGCATCAGGAATTACAATGCTTTATAGTAACTTAAATAGCCATCATGGCAACCTCTGGGGAAGGCATTCTTATTAAGCCTGTTTTTCAGAGGAGGAAACTAAGGCACAGAGAGCTAAGTACTCGGCTCAAGGCAACACTACTACAAGTAGCAGGGCTGAGACCAGAGCCCAGACAGCCGGGTTCTAGGGTCCACCACACTCCTAACCACTACACATCACGGCCTCTTGGTTAGAAGTGAACCCTGGAGACTAGAGGAAGAAATACACCTCATTTAACTACCATGGGCAGCATTTTGGATACTCATAATGGACTTCCTGAAAGCGAGGGGAAAGAAGCTTCATGTCACAGGAGATTACTTCAAGAGCAACAAAAAGAAGGGGTAGAAGTTTTCCTCTCAGGGTTTCTCTAGCTCTGGGGCTCTGGGAGATGTGTTTATCCATAGCTTTCACATAGTTTCAGACAAGCACTACCCAGTTCTGTCTGAGGAAGCCCTGGGGAGGGAGCAGGAGTGGCTCTTACCAGGGGGTTCTTGTAATAGAGCAGCCTCCGCTCATGGCAATCCAGGGTGAACCACCTTTTCTTGAAAGGTTCTCTCTGCTGCAAAAGACGGAACCTCTTACCATGGATGACCAAGTCAGTTTCTGAGGATAGAGATCAGGGGCCAGCCCAGGCCAGACCAAGGGAGCTGGCCAGTCCCACTGGTTCTCCAGCCCAGCCTCCTCAGTCAGACATCCTAGTGCTTCTCCCTGGGGCCTGGACAGGAGCCCTCAGGCATTGAAGGTTCTGCCCATTACCCTTCCAACCCCACCATACCCTCTACCAGCTTCACCCTGCTGCCTCCAGGTGCTGCCTTGACTTGGAAGAGGCACTTTCCTCTTTCTCAGGCGGTGGACAAAGAAGCCGGAGAAAAAGGAAGTCGGGGAAAATCAGAAGTGGCTACTGCTTGGCAAGGCTGAAAGTGCTGGCCTTGGCCAAATTCTAACCTAGGTCAGGGAGAGAAAGCCCGGCAAGAAGAACCACGCGGAGGGGCTGCGCCTCTCTGAAAATAACGCTTTGACTGCTTTTTCCGCCTGCCCAAGGCTTGCTTTCACGATTGCCTAACACAGGGGTATCCAATCTTTTGCCTTCCCTGGGCCACATTGGAAGAATTGTCTTGGGCCACACATAAAATACACTAAACTAATGATAGCTGGTGAGCTTAAAACAAAAAAAATCGCAAAAATATCTCATAATGTTTTAAGAAAGTTCACGAATTTGGCTGGGCGTGGTGACTCGTGCCTGTAATCCCAGCACTTTGGGAGGCTGAGGTGGGCAGAGGTCGGGAGTTCGAGACCAGCCTGGCCAACATGGTGAAATCCCGTCTCTACTAAAATTATAAAAATTAGCCAGTCATGGCGGTGGGCACCTGTAATCCCAGCTACTCAGGAGTCTGAGGCAGGAGAATCGCTTGAATCCGGGAGGTGGAGGTTGCAGTGAGCCAAGATCACACCACTGCACTCCTCCTGGGTGACAGTGCAAGACTCTGTCTCAAAAAAATTAAAAAAAGAAAGTTTACGAAGTTGTGTTGGGCCTCATTCCAAGCTGTCCTGGGCAGCATGCGGCCCATGGGCTGTTGGTTGGACAAACTTGGCCTAACACCTTTCACTGTTCTCTTAACCGTCATCCCATAAACACATTAAACCTTTTGTGTACATTAAGCCACATAAGTCCCCCAGGGAGTGGTAGAAGGTACCTTTGGCCCAGTCTTTTCCATGAAGCCTTGTTTGAGGTAGTTCCTGGTGAGGAATGGCACGAGCTGTGGAAGAGAGACAGACACTGACCCCCAACTCACACCCCAGAGCTCCAGGTTCCCGCCTGGCTCCCGACAAAGGGGAAGTTTGAAATGGGGAAGGATGTATGCTCATGGCTCATGGTATTATATTTGGAAAGTGCAATGGACATAATATTAATATTTCACAGAGCCAGTCGACAGCACCCCAGATGTTTGCAGAACTTAGTGGCACAGCCAAGTTTTGGTTTAAGGACTCCTTCAGTAACCCCAGGACATAGGCAAGGCTCTGCAGAGACCCTCTTGGTGTCAGGGAACATGTTCTGAGGGTCCACTTTGCGTCAGGCTCCGGTTGCAATTCTCAATCACCCTGCGAGGTGGGTATCACCAGCCTCATTACACATCTGAAGAAACCAGGCCACAGAGAAGGGGCTGGGGATTTTCCTAAAGTCACAGCACTGGTAGCGCGAAGGGCTGAGATTCATGCCCAGGGCCGATGACACTAGACTGTACTCCTACCACTACACTAGGGTGCTAAAGTATAAACATGCCAGGGCCCTCTGAGCAGGACCTTGGGAAAGGCGTGGTCATTGGTCAGAGTTCTGACACAGAGCAACAAGAAAATGATGCGAGAGGCCGGGCGCGGTGGCTCACGTCTGTAATCCCAGCACTTTGGGAGGCCCAGGCAGGTGGATCACTTGAAGCCAGGAGTTTGAGACTAGCCTGGCCAACATGGTGAAACCCCATCTCTACTATAAATACAAAAATTAGCTGGGCATGGTGGTGTGCACTTGTAATCCCAGCTACTCAGTAGGCTGAGGCAAAAGGATCCCTTGAACCCGGGAGGCAGAGGTTGCTGTGAGCTGAGATGGTGCCACTGCACTCCAGTCTGGGTGACAGAGGGAGACTCCGTCTCAAAAAAAAAAAAAAAGAAAAAAAGAAAGAAAAGAATATGATGCCAGAGTGGACAGAGAAAGTTCTGAAGCAGAAGTCGGGAGACCTGGTTCTAACTCCAGTTCTGGCCTCCACCAGCTGCATTACCTTTGTAAGACCTTCTGTCTCATGAGGCCTTATGTCTCCCCTGTGTGATAAACAACCTGGATCATGTGATCCCCAGAATCCCTTCCAGCCTGTCAGCCTATACTCAGAGATGTTTCCCGGGGTTGATGATGGCCTCCTATGCTCCCAGGCATCAACCTGGAAAGTCTAGAGCTTCAAATGACAGTCCAGGCTTCAAAGAACAGAGAGGCTTCTCCAGAGCTCCAGGGCCCAGGGCAGAGGCACAGGGGAAGTGAGGTCTGGGGAACAGCTACGGGAAGTTTAAAAGGGGGAAAGTTGTGAGCCAAAAATGAAAATATGGCCCTGTAATCCCAGCACTTTGGGAGGCCGAGACGGGCGGATCACAAGGTCAGGAGATCGAGACCATCCTGGCTAACACGGTGAAACCCCGTCTCTACTAAAAAATACAAAAAACTAGCCGGGCGCGGTGGCGGGCGCCTGTAGTCCCAACTACTCGGGAGGCTGAGGCAGGAGAATGGTGTGAACCCGGGAGTCAGAGCTTGCAGTGAGCTGAGATCCGGCCACTGCACTCCAGCCTGGGCGGCAGAGCGAGACTCCGTCTCAAAAAAAAAAAAAAAAAAACAAAAATGAAAATATAGGTCAGATGCAGTGGCTCACACCTGTAGTCCCAGCACTTTGGGAGGCCGAGGTAGGAGGATTGCTTGAGGCCAGAAGTTCGATACCAGCCCGGGCAACATAAGTGAGATACCATCTCTACAAAAAATAAAAATTTTTTTTTAATGTAAGAAAGAAAATATAAACTGTACTACTCCCCTCATCCTGAAATACATTCACTAGGCTTTAATTCTTCCATTTGGAGAAAACAGATGGAGTCCCGAACTGCTCAATATTCTGAATTTGAGTCAGCACAGAGCAAGCAGAGGCCTAGGGAAACCATTGGGAGAAAAAGGAAAATCACATGGCTGGAGCACTGCTTCCTGTACTTCAGATGCTTGGCTCGCTGGAGTCTCACAACAGCCCTAGAAAGTAGGTACTATCACCTAGGCAAGTCACCTCACCTCTCTGGGCTGGATCATCTGTCACTATGGCAACAATACCTACTTTCTCTGAAGTCCAAAAGACCATATGCACTTATTACAGGACCACAGACCCCACTGGGATGCCCTGGATTTCCAACATGTGGATCCTAAAGCCTGAGCCAGGCCTGGTGATTGTTCAGAACCTCACACCATACACAGACATTAAATGGGAAGAAAGACACGGGATGGATATCGGGTACTGACAGTGGATGAGAGCGGCAGGGGAACACTGAGGATGTTGACCGAAGAGCAATTTCCTTTACACATGTCAGCAAAGATGGGCAACTTGCCCAGATTAAATAAGGCTGAGCATCTGCACTTTGTCCTCCTTCCTCATAGTCAGCAGTCAGCACCCTCCACTCCCCACCCATGGGAGCCAGCATTAACCAGTTCTGGGTGCAAACTCAGCAGACTGACTCAAGGGCTCTGACTCGGGCCTTACTGGAATTGCTCCCAGACAGCTGCCATCTCAGCATATCCTTGGGCCTGGAGGGGACGCTATTCCAGACAACTGGCTCCCTACAAACCTTGGAATTAAGGAGCATTTAGGCTTTCAAGGACGCTCTAGGCCGGGCGTGGTGGCTCATGCCTGTAATCCCAGCACTTTGGGAGGCCGAGGCGGGCAGATCATGAGGTCAGGAGATCGAGACCATCCTAGCGAACACGGTGAAACCCCGTCTCTACTAAAAATACAAAAAAATTAGCCAGGCGTGATGGTGGGTGCCTGTCGTCCCAGCTTCTAGGGAGGCTGAGGCAGGAGAATGGCAGGAACCCGGGAGGCGGCGGAGCTTGCAGTGAGCGGAGATCGTGCCACTGCACTCCAGCCTGGGCGACACAGCGAGACTCCATCTCAAAAAAAAAAAAAAAAAAAAAGGAAGCTCTAACGGTTGAGATTAAGAAAATCCCAGCATTAAAATGGTTTTCCACCCCCGTCACTTATAAAATCCTCTTACAGGGGAGCCTCTTGAAGAGGACCAGAGTATAGAATCTCAGAGCCGGAAGGGACCCTGAAGATGACCTGGACTAACTGCCATCTTACCAATCTGGAAACAGAAGCTCAGAGAGGTGCCAGGACCTGCAGGGGTCACACAGAAAGTGAGCAATAGAGCACCCCTGAGAGCCCAGGCTTCCTGGCTCAAGGCAGCATCCTCTGCCCCACACCATGCGGGCCTCCCTGGCCCAGCCTGAAATAGGGAGATGAAGGCCCCAGAAGTCTGGAGACAACCAAAATGAGGTTCTCGGCTCCCCATCGTGTTGGCCACGAAGGGCATACCTGCTCCTGTTGCAATTGTAATGGGGAGGATCCCAGGCTTTCCCAAGCCCAGAGCATCACAGGGCAAAGCGGGGATGTTACAAAGGGAAGCGCACCTTTGGTTATTCACCTGCCCTTCCTGGGACTGTGTATCACATCAGTGAAATGGAAATAATCACCCCTGCCCGGCTGCCATTTCACAAGACAAAACGGGCTCAAAGCACTCTGTAGGCAGTATGTTAGGGATCATTTGTACATTTTAGAGGGAGAAGGGGTCAGAAAGAGATGACCAAATGCTGAGCCCCTTGACACTCCTCTGAAGGCGAGAAACTGACCTGCTTTTGGGAGGTTGCCTTGTCATATGTGAGGCTGTAACCCCCCAGGCTCCCCTGGAGAATGCCTTGGGTTTCCCTCTGAGCTACCCAGCCCTCAACCTCGAGGTCTTACCTGCAAACAAACCTAGTCTGGCTTCTTTGGTTTCTTTTTTTTTTTTTGACACGGAGTCTTGCTGTGTCACCCAGGCTGGAGTGTAGTGGCGCCATCTCGGCTCACTGCAAGCTCCGCCTCCCGGTTTCATGCCATTCTCCTGCCTCAGCCTCCCAAGTAGCTGGAATTACAGGTGCCCGCCACCACATCCAGCTATTTTTTTTGTATTTTTAGTAGAGATGGGGTTTCACCATGCTAGCCAGGATGGTCTCGATCTCCTGACCTCGTGATCCGTCCGCCTCGGCCTCCCAAAGTGCTGGGATTACAGGCGTGAGCCACCATGCCCAGCCCTAGTCTGGCTTCTGAGTGTCTTCGAGGTCAACAGATAAGGAAAGAAGGAGATGGCCGAGAGGGGATTCAGAAATTGGGGTCCACATTTAGCTCACCTCAGACTCCGGGAGTTCAGGAAAAGCCAATTTTAGATACTGCAGACGGGCTGCACGCAGGGCATTGAACCAGTCCACTATCTCCTGCCGAGAGAAGTGCACAGGACACACACACAGCAGTGAGATGGGGTGGGTGGGAGGCTGCGTCTGGTGGCGGGAAGCTAGCTGGGCATTGCGTGTGGGGCGCATGTATTCAGCGCCTGCACACACCCCACAGCTTGGCTCAGGGGCATCCAGGCAGGACTGTGTCAGAGCCTCGTGGGCTAACCCGAGCAAACAGGAAGCCTCTGACAGGGATAACCCTAGAGCCCCGGAAAAGGATCGGGTGAACTGCACAGGAGTTCTGCAATGGCCTCAGACAGTGCTTTTCACCTTCTAATGCGTACAAAATCTCCTGAGGCTCTTGTTAAAATGCAGAGGCATGTGCAGTAGGTTTGGAATGGGGCCCAAGACTCTGCATTCCTAACACGCTCTCAGGTGATATGATGCTGCTAGTCAGTGGAATACACTCTAAGGAGAAAGGTTCTAGGAAATCGTTGGCCTCAGATGTCAAAGACTGGCATTTGGGTGGGGAGCAGGTGTGCCTGGGGATGCTCCTCTGATGAGGATGCTTATGGCAACTTAGGCCAAAGCTGGCTTGGTCCCTTCTGCTGTCACTCTGAGAGAACATGCCCCTCAGCAGCCTGGGCCACCTTCATCTCCCACCTAGACAACCACGTATCTAGCTGGCCTTGATCGGCTGTTCTCCAATTGACCCTCTCATGGCAACCAGAGTGATTTTTTTTTCTTTTTTTTTTAGACGGAGTCTCGCTCTGTTGCCCAGGCTGGAGTGCAGTGGCGTGATCTCGGCTTACTGTGACCTCCGCCTCCCAGGTTCACACCATTCTCCTGCCTCAGCCTCCTGAGTAGCTGGGACTACAGGCACCTGCCACCATGTCCAGCTAATTTTTGTATTTTTAGTAGAGACGGGGTTTCACTGTGTTAGCCAGGATGGTCTCAATCTCCTGACCTCATGATCCGCCTGCCTTGGCCTCCCAAAGTGCTAGGATTACAGGCGTGAGCCACCACGCCTGGCCTGTAGATTTTCTAATTACAAATCTAATCAGTCTGACTTGGAGTCCTGTCTACTACCCTCAGAAAAAAAAAAAAAAAAAAAGTCTTAAGTTCTTTACTATGACTGCTGTCTGAGCTCCTTCCATGCAAAACTATATGCAATTCTCCCAACACCTACTGCTCCTTCGTCTTGGGACATTCTGCTTAGCCCGCTCCATCCCACACACACCTTTTACGTAAAACATTCTACTTCTCCCACAGGTGAGTTCTGATGTTGTAATAGATTTTCGGTGCTTGCTCAGCCCAAGCCCTGCTTCTGTGAGAACTACCCCGCCTATCTTCACCCAACCCCAGTTGCAGCCCCATTTACTGCCGTGATCCTGCCCCTGCTTAACCACAGCAGCTGGACCAGGCCTGGACCAATACAGAGGCTGGACTGGGCTTATCAGATTCCTTCTCCCAGGAATTTGGAATTTGGAAGACTAAAAGGCTTGTTCAAATAGTGGTAGTTTGTGACTTTGATATAATATGATGATTGAGAAAGTCATTTGAATATGGTTTCAAAGGAATGAAACCATTTCCCTTTCTCTCTCATAGGCGAAGCACACAGGCCTAGGATTCCAGGGGTCTGTGCTCTCTTGTCCTGGGGTTCACTAAGGACCCTCTGGCCAGGTGCAGTGACTCATGCCTGTAATCCCAGCAGTCTGGGAGGCTGAGGCGGGTGGATCACCTGAGGTCAGGAGTTTGAGACCAGCCTGACGAACATGGTGAAACCCCATCTCTACTAAAAATACAAAATTAGCCAGGTATGGTGGTGCATGCCTGTAATCCCAGCTACTTGAGAGGCTGAGGCTGGAGAATTGCTTGAACCTGGGAGGCAGAGGTTGCAGCAAGCTGAGATTGTGCCACTGCACTCCAGTCGGGCGACACGGAGCCAACACTCCTTCTCCAAAAAAAAAAAAAAAAGAACCTTCTATGTGTCAGGCACTAAGGGATGGGGCCAGCCCAGAAAAGACATGCCTAGGCCCTCACATTGAAGGTCCTCCAGTCACAATCTGGTGATCCCTGTGCCAAGTCCAACCTGCATACCTGTTTGGCTCCTGAAGTTTTATTTTTCAATCCTCCATGCGGGTTTCTGTTCTGCCACAAGCCCCTCCTCACCCCTTATGCCTGTCCACTTAGTTTTTAAATCACCCTGACCTCCTGCAGGCAGGTCTGGCCATCCTCATTTAGCCCATCTAACAGACAGGCTGGGGCTCCAAGCCAAGAGAAGAACGGCCAGACCCCAGTTTCAGACGGCACCATACATGGGCAGATTCAGGGAGGGACTGGCGGCTTGTCCTAATGCCAGAGACCCTTGGGTGCATAATAAAAGTCCTTGTGGCAGGCTGGTTGGCATGGAGAGAGGGGCTAGGGCTGTGAGTGCTATGGGCCCCCTTGGAACCGGTTCTTAGTCCCTGCATCTGGCGTTCCTGGGCTCCTCGCTGACCAAGGGCTCCTCTACAGCAGCGGCTACTGGCGGTAAAGTGGTGCAGGGCTCAGGGAACCACTGGCTGGACCCGATGCAAGTTACTACACCATGTCCCATCGACTCACTAACGTGGCTTATTTTGAGGATTAAGAATGATGTACGCCAACACCAACACAGCAGTGCCCAGGGATTACATAGATGTCACAAATGTCAGCACACCTCATCCCTTCCCACTTACTCTTCCTGACCTAGTCCGAACTCTGCTCGGACTGACCAGCGTTGATTCTTCTACTATTCGGCCTGTCATCTCTACTGAGCTAAATTTCCTGCTCTTAAATAGTGCTCTTCAGTGCTCACCCCTGTAATTCCAGCCTTCGGAGGCCTGACGTGGCAGATCCACTTAGTCAGAATTCCAAGACCCCGGCCACATGGGAAACCCTGTGTTATAAAAATACAAAAATAAAAAAAAAAGAAAATACTCGAGTGCTGGAGCGAGCTACTGGCAGCTACGCCAGAGGATCGCTTACCTGAAGGGGAGGTGGCAGTGAGCCGAAATCGTGCCACGCACTCCAACCTGGGCCAACAGAGCAGTTCTGTCTCCAAAGGAAAAAAATAGTGCTCTCACAAAACTAAATCTGCACAAGACCACCATGGACTTTAAAATGCAGTTTCTTTTTCTTTTTTTCTTTCTTTTCTTTTTTTTTTCTGAGGCGGAGTCTTGCACTGTACCCAAGCTGGAGTGGCCTCGGCGCCATCCGGCTCACTGCAAGCTCCATCTCCGGTCCACTACATCTCTCCTTCATCCCGAGAGCCTGGGACTACAGGCGCCGCCCAACACCAACTTAAATTTTCTCGTAATTTTTTACAGATCGGTTCACCGTGTTAGCCAAGATCGGTCTTGATCCCCTGACCTCCATGATCGCCACCTCGGCCTCCCAAAGTCTGCGGATTACACCCCCTCCCCACCAGCTGAGGCTGGTCTCAAACTCCTGGGTCTCAAGGATCCACCTGCTGGCCTCCCAAGTTTCTGGGGATATAGGCAAAGCTACCAGCTCACGTTGAGACTATTTTAACAAGCCTGCGGTGATGCCAATGCTGTTGGACCAGGACCACATGTTAGAAGCAGCGTCTGGGGCGCACTCCGCCTGACTGTCTATCAGTTCCTCCCCCGTATTCAAAACCTCTGGCCTGCCTTTCCGCGGTGACGACCTACCCACATGAGAACATGCCTCTCGCAAAGGATCTCCTTCATCCCTCCCAGAAGAGGAGAGAGGAAACACAAGAAGAAACGCCTGGTGCAGAGCCGCCAATTCCTACTTCATGGATTGAAATGCCCAGGATGCTATAAAATCACCACGGTCTTTAGCCATGCACAAACGGTAGTTTTGTGTGTTGGCTGCTCCACTGTCCTCTGCCAGCCTACAGGAGGAAAAGCAAGGCTTACAGAAGGATGTTCCTTTAGGAGGAAGCAGCACTAAAGGCACGCTGAATCAAGATGAGTGGGAAACCATCTCAATAAACACATTTTGGATAAAAGTAAAATAAAATAAAATAACCTCTGGCCCTACCTGGCTTTGCATTCCTGGGCATAGTCACTTCTGTAACTGGACTTTCATTGGTGGCTGTGCACCGTTCAGATACAGCCATGGTACTTGCCAGGTTCCTCTCCCTGATCTCACCCTGCCCTCCTCATATCTTTGTCTCAGACTGGGAAGTGACTATAGATTAAGGCAAATGGTAGCAGAAAATCTCTAGAGGCAGCTGAGCACAGCACCAGTGAGCAGGGGAGGTGGTGAGCTGCACCTGCCGAGTCCTGGGGTGCGAGCTGGAGGTGGAGGTGGCAACTCCAGTCGTCTCACCTTCCCACTTTCATGATACACAAACAGGTTCCTGATGTGGCCATCTCTCCTGTAGGTGATCTGCAGCCCGTGGGGGTGCCCTATCTTCTCTGTCTGGAAGGTGGCATTCAAGTCCTTAATGCTGATGACAGCTTTGGGGTTTTTACCCTGAAAGAGAGAGAGAGAAAGAAAGATGCTGACAGTCCACAGGGTGACTTTTGGTCAACTTTCACCAAGGCCTTCATGCAAACAAACATCAATTTGTAAATATACGGGTTTTAAATGTTCTTGCTCTCATATCAAAATTCACAGATACTGGCCGGATGCGGTGGCTCACGCCTGTAATCCCAGTACTTTGGGAGACCAAGGCGGGTGGATCACGAAGTCAGGAGTTCGAGACCAGCCTGGCCAACTTGGTAAAACCCTGTCTCTGCTAAAAATACAGAAATTAGCTAGGCATGGTGGCAGGCGCCTGCAATCCCAGTAACTCGGGAGACTGAGGCAAGAGAGTGGTTTGAACCTGGGAGGCGGAGGTTGCAGTGAGCTGAGATTGTGCCACTGCACTCTAGCCACCACACCTGGCTAATTTTTGTATTTTTAAGTAGAGACGGGTTTTCGCTATGTTGGCCAGACTGCTCATGAACTCCTGACCTCAGGTGATCCACCCGCCTTGGCCTACCAAAGTGCTGGAATCATAGGTATGAGCCACTGCGCCTAGTCTATCGTTCTCTTCTTTGTGTCCATGGGTACTCAACGTTTAGCTCCCGTTTATAAGTTAGAACATTTGGTTTTCTGTCCCTTTGTTAGTTACTTAAGATAATATTCTCCAGATCAATCCATGTTGCTGCAAAGAACATGATCTCATTCTTTTCTTTGTTTTTATCTTTGTTTTGTTTCGCTTTTGTTGCCCAGGCTGGAGTGCAGTGGCATGATCTTGGCTCACTGCAACCTCTGTCTCCCAGGTTCAAGGGATTCTCCTGCCTCAGCCTCCCAAGTAGCTGGGATTACAGACACGTGCCACCACATCCAGCTAATTTTTTGTATTTTTAGTAGAAACGGGGTTTTACTATGTTAGCCAGGCTGGTCTCAAACTCCTGATCTCAGGTGATCTGCCTGCCTCAGCCTCCCAAAGTGCTGGGATTACAGGCATGAGCCATCACCCCTAACCAATCTCGTTCTTTTTATTTATTTTTGAGATAGAGTCTCGCTCTGTTGCCCGGGTTGAAGTGCAAAGGCGTGATCTCGGCTCATTGCAACCTCCACCTCCCAGATTCTAACCATTCTCCTGCCTCAGCCTCCTGAGTAGCTGGGATTATAGGCGTGTGCCACCACATCTGACTAATTTTTGTATTTTTAATAGAGATGGGGTTTGACCATGTTGGTCAGGCTGGTCTCGAACTCCTGACCTTGTGATCTACCTGCCTCGTCTCCCAAATGCTGGGATTACAGGCATGACCCACCGTGCCCGGCCAATCTCCTTCTTTTTTATGGCTGTGTAGTATTCTATGTACCACATTTCCATTATCCAGTCCACCACTGATGGGCACCTAGGCTGATTCCATGTTTTTGTTATTGTAAATAGTGCTGCGATGAGCATATGTGTACATGTGTCTTTATAGTAGAATTATCTCTTTTTTCTTTTCTTTTTTTTTTTTGAGATGGAGTTTCACTGTTGTTACCCCGGCTGGAGTACAATGGAGCGATCTTGGCTCACTGCAACCTCCGGGTTCAAGCGATTCTCCTGCCTCAGCCTCCCAAGTCACTGAGATTACAGAGATGTGCCACCATGCCTGGCTAATTTTGTATTTTTAGTAGAGACAGGGTTTCTCCATGCTGGTCAGGCTGATCTCGAACTCCTGACCTCAGGTGATCCACTGGCCTCTGCCTCCCAAATTGCTAGGATTACAGGCGTGAGCCACCGCATCTGGCCTATAGTAGAATTATTTCTGTTGCTTTGGGTATATACCCAGTAATGGGATTGCTGGGTCAAATGTTAGTTCTGTTTTAAGTTCTTTGAGAAATCTCCAAACTGCTTTCCACAGTGGCTGAACTAATTTACATCCCTGCCACAAGTGTGTAAACATTTCCTTTTCTCTACAACCTCACCAGTATCTGTTACTTTTTTACTTTTTGATAATAGCCATTCTGACTGGTATAAATGGTATCTCAGTGTGGTTTTGACTTACATTTCTCTGATTAGTGATGTTGAACATTTTTTCATTTGCTTTTTGGCCACGTGTATATCTTCTTGGGAGAAGTGTCTGTACACATCTTTTGCCCATTTTAATGAGGTTGTTTTTTGCTTTCAACATTATATTTTTGAGGTCTACCCGTGCTGTGATATAGCAGTCTAATTTTCTCTTATAAATGACTATACCAAAAGTTATCAATCTATCTTCTGTTAATAGATACATTGAGATTGTTCCTGATTTTTTGCTATCATAAGTAATGTTGCAGTCAGTTTGTGCCCTGGTACACATATGTGAGTGTATCTGTGGGTCACAGGGTATGCTTAGAAATGGAATTGCTAGATTACAGTTATATACATCTTCACTTACTAGAGACTGACAAATTATTCTGCTGAATGGCTCAACAGTGATTGTACCAATATTTGCTTCCATCAATGAAATAGAATAATTCCCCTTTCCCCATACACTCACCAACACTTGACACTACCAGATTACAAAATTTTTGCCAATATGATTGGTATGGAATTGTATCTCATTATTAATTTTCACTTAATCAACATTTACTGAGGAGTAGTTTAGAAACAATAAACTGTACTCATATTAAGAATATAGTTTGAATCCCAGCACTTTGGGAGGCTGAGGTGGGCGGATCACGAGGTCAGGAGATCGAGACCATCCTGGCTAACACAGTGAAACCCCGTCTCTACTAAAAATACAAAAAATTAGCTGG